TGTATGTATATATATCTGTCCGTATTTGACACGCTATTTTATATATATATATAATGTATATATATAATGTATATATATATATAATGTATATATATAATGTATATAATGTATTCCCAGTAAGCCAACCTCGGTCGTTTATCCAATCTTCCACCCAGTATTATTACACTACTTCAAAGTACCCCAAGTAGTTTGTAACCGAAACAGTTGCGTAGCCAGTTCGCAGTGACCACCAAGGGTCAAATGGCAGTGTGAAATCGGGTAACAAAACGTTTCAGTGGTAATGCAGATAATATTTCTAAAATAATGGGAGCTGGAACGCCGAAGTTATCCGCCTAGTTTTTAAAGGAAGCTCGTCGCTTAGTGAGCAGCTTAAGTAAAATATTTCCTCTCACCCTTGCGTGTGTACGGTATACTAAGGAAATCACCATAAACAGTGACTTCAAAGTATACATCAGTATCCACTGTCAAAGAACCACAGATTTCACTTTAAACGGTAGAAATATTAAACAAGGCATATAACTTGGCATTTATCAGAATGGATCTCTGAGCATTTCCCAGTCACTACGCACTATGAAGACGGCATTTTTGAAGCATCGGACAGCGTGTTCAAGGTGACAAACAAGTATACTGACCCAACGTGTGTTAACTGTTCTTGCCTGTGTGCAAACATCATTTCAAAAGAGGTCAGTAAGCGAACAGTGTTCGTATCAAAAGAGATTGTCAATCAAACACGAAACTCGGATCGTGCAAAGAGAATCCTTTCGATCAAGAAATCCTATTACCGTGATCCAAAGTAAGAACAACGATGAGTCAACTAGTTTCTCTTTGTCTCAATATTTCTCAATAGTGCCTTATTTAAGTGTTTCTTCTGTAACCTGCCTAACTTTGCACTTCTGTCAATTCGTTCTGATCCGAGCGAACACCCTATAGTTAGCGCAAGACTGGGGCTAGACTACTCTAACCGGTTAAAATACAAGTGCAATTTTGGATGGGAAACCTCCTTAAACAAATATGCACATTATTATGTATAATGTAGCACGTGTTTAGCGTTCACAACACAAACGCGTAAAGCCACATGCTTCATTTCGCATACCCATAGTTGCCTGGTACAATTTTCCGAAATGGAGTTCGCCACTTCCAATAACTTATTCTCAGAGGGCCGGATGGCTGTGGATAGAGCGCGAATTTCCTGAGCGGAAGGTCCGTGATTCGAATCCAACCTCTGCATCTCGACTTATTATGTCTAGGCTTGGACAACCTTATAGCATCCCAGCCCTCGTGCTTCCTTCTGGTGGCATGGCAGCTGAGCACCGAAATTCGGTTACAACTGAATGACTTTATTTATCTAATACGTTTTCGGGACCGTCGGTGTCCACTAACCCTACCACAAGCACTTCTAGAGGAAACGAATGAATAAAATCGCTCGGAACAGCAGAGGTGATTTCAAAAATAATCTGGATAACATTGGAAAAAATCGTCCATTAAACACGGTAATTCAACAAAGATACCCTCGGGGATGGGTCAAATGTGCGATTCCGTTTCAGGGAGGCAAACATGTGATGAAAAACCCAGAAAGCGTTCAGCTGTAGCACCCTTCCGGTGCCTAGCTGCCATGCCACCCGAAGGAAGCACGAGGGCTGGGATACTGCCAGGCTGCCAAAGCCTAGACAGGGGAAAAACCCAACACAGATTACTATGACAAAATGCTCAGGGTTTTCCGTCAATCACAGATCTCCGACAACGACAGAACTACACCACTTTAAAGTCGTTGCATTTTCCTCATAAACTGTACGAAATTCTACGGTTGGGCTAGTTATTACAGCTAGTCCATTCATAAGATGAATCAGCCCGTTAAGAGAGCAATGAACCACGACGCAAAACGTAAATCAATAACCGATAACCAGTAAGTAACGCTTGAATAATTCGTAGGACGCATCGTTCTGTTCCGAATAAAATCCGACTACATAAACACTACTCCACTTTAGGAACGGACTCTATGAAAGACGAGTACATAAGTTAGTAGGAGAATTAGCCACACATAAACCATCGATTTGATTACAGATGGAGGGGTGATATCCCGAGGTGCAATTCCTCCGAGTAATACTGAAACGTGAATATACACACGTCAGATGAGCTAGATAGACCAAAGTGAAAAGCAATATATGACAGTATACTACGTTCGTTTTCGTTTAGTTTGGTTTGTGATGATATACCGATACCACGAAATTCAGGAATCAGATAGCTGATGATTGGCGACTTAGTTAGCGACATGAGGATAAGCGTTTACTACTGTAGATCGTGTAGATGCATGACTCGATCCCAAGTATCTCAGCTGGTCATGTGAAGGTTTGAGAAACTCGGTGGAATTTAGACCCCCGTGAATACCACGGTAGGAATGTGCTGAAAAAATGATGATTCATTGAGTTATTCAACTTTCGTTTCGTTTTGTAATTTTAATTCCGTAGATTAGTGACATACGTCGCACATGAACCGAACTCCCGAAACATTGGTGATTATTTATAATGAGCTTGGAACACGCACACACCAGAAGATGACCAACAAGTCTTACCGGGTTTGTAGGCATCCCAAAAGAGCACACCCGAAAAATGCAACAGCAAGCTGATCAGTGGAACCGTCAGCGGCAAAGTCAGACCCAAAAGGATTGAGAATGAAGACACGAGTAAACACAATGGGGGCCAAATCACCAAGATTAACAGGGTGGAGAAGAAACCACGAAACAAGTAGGACCAAATCCGGTGTAGTGGACGAGCAGCAGCTTTATCCAGAAGACCTTTGGACGGAGTTGCATCGAACGCCCGTCGGGATGCACGGATATTTCGCCAAATACGAATGATCCGACTTATGATGGTGTCTTGATAGAATGATTTGTTGTAGAAAAGGTAACCCTGGATGGTATATGGAAATGCATGAGGAATCAGGAAACCAGCGGATACATAGTAGCTTGCCGATAAATCGCAACCAAATATGTTAACAAGTCTCCCGAGGAGCGTTGCGAACCCATTCCGTTCTACACACAAACGTCACCATTTCTGACGGTCCCTGTTTTGAGGTTTCCTCAGAACGAACACACGTATGTAGCATCCGAATAAACGTGAACTGTCAAGCACCACAAAAACAAACATTGTCTCACATGTGCTACGAAGCCGTGATTCGATCGCAGCTGCGGTAAGGAAGGTGCAGGCCGTTCATGTTTCAGTTGAAATATCACAACTATGGCAAGAATATGTGAGGGAACCTGTTGCTTTAGTTCCCGAAAAGATGCTCGAATCCGCCAAGACTAACGAGGGAAGAAATGGAGATTTCATCCTGTAACCGTAGTCAATCTATGTCGAAAAGCCAAGGAGCAGTGTATAGTTTATGACTATTCCCGATAAGGATGAAACAGCTGTACAGCGCTTTTCGGCTGGTTTCACTTAGAGGACAAAATCTCCATTGGTAAAATTCCCAAATTTTATGACTATCCCGATAAGGATGAAACAGCTGTACAGCGCTTTTCGGCTGGTTTCACTTAGAGGACAAAATCTCCATTGGTAAAATTCCCAAATCTTCTCATACTATCCACAAAGAAGTGGGCCTCTGGAACACTATCCAGGGCATTGGAAAAGAACGGATTCCCAATAATAGTGGACCGATAATATGCAACCTATAGGTATTTCTATTTAACTGACAGAGTTATACAAAGAAGAAAAAAGGATACCTCGTAGAACAAGAACAAAACATCAACTCTGAAAGAAGATCGGATTTTATTCTGGAGCTACGTGTTTGTGCATACTTTCAAGCAACGCACTTCGTCCACAGTTACACATAAACAACCCAGATTCGGTCGATACCCTTTCATCCAGGCGAAAAGATGGGCAAAACTGAACAGAATTTAATAATGTGGCAAACGAAGGGGAGACAGTAGAAGTGAGAACAAATCGAATTTAAATGAACTGGAAATGGGAAGGCAGTTTGAACAAATGGATCGCAACGCATGCATCGGGTAATTAAATAGGATTGAGCTTGAAAACAAATGAGTCAGAGTGCACTAAAACAACGACGACAAGTTAGATATCCCAGAACACTAATTTTGTAATGACTGACATTCAAGTTATGTCTCAATATGTATTGAAGCTTAGTCAGAGTGAATTGGACTTTACGGCAACCAAGTGATCTATTATAGATCTACACACGTTTCTAAACTGTTCGAACAAACTGGATGATGTCTGAGCTATAGTGCGCGTTAAACTCAGATGAAAAGCAGTAAAACGGGAAAAGACAACTGACCGTTGCTTGATCCAGTTCTAGCCGCAGGTAAATTGGACCAGGTCTGACAAGAGCCGTCAAGCTGAACGCCGAACGGAAGGGAATAGTGATCTATGCACGAAAACAGGAAACCGGAGCTGAATCTGACAGGTGCTTAGGATTATGACAACCGGAAAAATGGCTTTATGACACATAGGTCAGCCAAGTGAAAGAAAAACATCAATTGGTATGAAACAGAGTTCAAGATAACTTAAATTTCACAAAACGTACAAACAGTGGCATCAGCAAATTCGAGAAAGGATGGGTTTCGGTAAAAAAAAAGAAGGATGACAGATGTTAAAGTATGATCAATGTTTCTGCCTACGGTGAAATGGCTAGTTAGAGAAGTCTGTGTCAGTTTTTTGCACACAAGTTGGTGCAGTGTTTTGAAAAAGACAAACGTGCTCGATTAGCGGGTGAAGACGTTTTTCTCTATCTATAAGAACCACCGGGGAGTTGCAAAATAGAAGATGAAACATTCGGCCAGTGATTGATTAAATTAGAAAGGAGAAAAAGACCTAACAGGAACAGCGCCGCAGTCCTATGTGGCAACGGCCGGCAGCAAAATTTTTTCAGTAGCTCAGGCATTTGCCCAACCAACGCCGTAATGGATAGTGCACCTTCTAGCCACAAGGCACATGCAGCAGTATCTCCTATTTTACTCTGCCAAACGCTAAGTAGATTACATGTGTAAATTGCATCGGCGACTGTTCAGAGTGTATGACTTGGATGAGCAGGAAAGATAACGTCTGAGGCCCAGGTGTGAGGTCAGAGCAGAGGACGCTGGACTTTACCTTCGTGTAACCGCTAGTCTATCTCCGCGGCCCGTTGAGCTATACTCGGGCGTGTCCGTGCGACAGAGACTCATAGCAGGTTAGCCATTGGTTGTCTGACGAACAAAGCTTCCTGACCCTTCAGGTTGGGGATTCGAAAATGTAGGGCGACGTGTTCCGTAAAAATGGCAATGTACTTATTTGTAATGTACTACTCATAAGCAGCCCACGACGGTTTCGCCCTTCTTGGGGCTCAACAAGGGGGCGCAATGTACTTACATTTCCAGCCAAACGCAGCTGCGTTGCGGTCAGGCTTTTGAGCCAAAGGTTTTGGTTGGGCACCCTAATCGTCCTCTTGTGTAGGCGTGGGCATCCTGAGGTATCCTAACCCATGAACAAACAATGAATTCCACACATACAACTGAACTCATACAACATCGATCGTCGTGTGGTGCCATCAGGCAGATCGCCTTACTTGCTGTATGCAGCAAGGTGGGTAATCGAAAACAGGCTACCGCTGAAGTCTAAAGTGTTTGATTATTTGGGCGACAGCGTATTTCGTAAATCCGTTGGTCTGTTTGTGATATTTACTTTGTTATGATCTGCGTTCCATGGAGTTGATTAGTTATCCCAAAGCCTTCTTTTTCAGTAGTTTCTTACCTCGCTCTGATTGACCCTGTTCTAATTTGCATCGCAGTGTTGTTTGATCTTATCAAGATTGACTAGTTGGTTGCACAACCTTACCTTCTCCATTGTACCGGCGCAAGCGCGGACTCTAGCCGTTACAGTGCTCTCGGCTGTGCGCCTCTGGCGATCCAAAGGCTTCTGTGGTAGCATGTGCAAGGGTTACTATAGTCCTAAGTCACGGGGTGGGAGATTCCTTGCCTGACTGGATACCCGTTAATAGTTGCTCTAATGGACCTTCACATAACCCAAAGAAGTGGCACGGGTAGGCTTATGACTATTGTCTAGCTACACAAGTGGGCTGCGTTTGTTAGAACCACGCTTTCGAGCACCCAGCATTGCGTGTAATTTCGAGATAGCAGAATTCCCCTCTTCCACTCTTCTCCCTTCCTGAAAGCACGCTCTTCCTTCGGATACATTATCTCGCGGGGCGACTTTGTACAAACATTGTGTTGTAAATGGCCTAAGGAGCGCTCCCGCGATTACCAACAAATCAGGAGACATCACGTCCGAAGTTTCGCGTGCTAGTTCTCAGTTGTGTATAGAAACCCTGAGAATATATGTAGTCCTTCGTTGATCAAATACAGCAGTTTGGCTACGAAGGAAATGCCACATCGACAAGTCTTGTATCAAAGTCATCATTTCACTGACGCAGCATATTTTCATTTATACCCACCATAGCTCAATATCGACGGTTAACACGACTATGTTTTCATTGTGCAACAATCTACGTGTGACTCTTCCCGAGAGGATGCTTTTGGATGATGACAACGTCCAGTACCAGCCAGTATACTCGCGGGTGACACCGGTTGTCCTGCAGCTTGCGAAAACAGCAGTTCACAAACGCGCAAATTTCTGTCATTCGTTAACATAGTCCAAACTGATAGCATGTTAAGTTGAGATGGGGCGAGATGGTCCAAGTGGTTAGAGCGCGAATTTACTGATNCTCTTCCTTCGATACATTATCTCGCGGGGCGACTTTGTACAAACATTGTGTTGTAAATGGCCTAAGGAGCGCTCCCGCGATTACCAACAAATCAGGAGACATCACGTCCGAAGTTTCGCGTGCTAGTTCTCAGTTGTGTATAGAAACCCTGAGAATATATGTAGTCCTTCGTTGATCAAATACAGCAGTTTGGCTACCAAGGAAATGCCACATCGACAAGTCTTGTATCAAAGTCATCATTTCACTGACGCAGCATATTTTCATTTATACCCACCATAGCTCAATATCGACGGTTAACACGACTATGTTTTCATTGTGCAACAATCTACGTGTGACTCTTCCCGAGAGGATGCTTTCGGATGATGACAACGTCCAGTACCAGCCAGTATACTCGCGGGTGACACCGGTTGTCCTGCAGCTTGCGAAAACAGCAGTTCACAAACGCGCAAATTTCTGTCATTCGTTAACATAGTCCAAACTGATAGCATGTTAAGTTGAGATGGGGCGAGATGGCCCAAGTGGTTAGAGCGCGAATTTACTGATCGGAAGGTCAGTGGTTCGAACCCGACCACTGCCTCTCGACTGTCTAGGCTTGGGCAACCTGGCAGTATCCAAGCCCTCGTACAATCTGCAACCTGCGGATGTTAAGGCGACTTTGAACAAGTATGACTGCAGCCCAAGTACAAGCCTAGTCAAGAAATTGAACAAATGGATGAAACAGGGAGTAAAAAACAGTGAACTTACAAGGAACATCTGGCCGAACCGCAAGAGCCACGAGTAGGTACACACCAGGAAGACTAACCACCGCCACATAAAATATCGGGTTGAGACTTTGTAAACCAAAGAGGACTGAACCACGAATTCCGGATACGTCGACGACTAGAGCATTGGTAGAGCAGAAAAAGAAACCAACTAAATCTGTGGCTAACACTAATCCTGATCAGTACCCATTCTTTAAGGAAAATACTGATGACTCTGACCAACCGATGTGCGAAATTCCGTAACGCACTCATTCACACCTAACTCACAGTACCCCACTTATATTAATCATTGACGGTGCAGATTTGTCGATATTTTCGCCGAACTGGTGACTAAAAGAGCATTATATTAATAAGTCACAAAATAAGAATCAAAATAGGTCTGGTTTCTCCATGCCACCAGGTTCATTTGGTACGCGCAAACTTTGAATCATAAAAGATAATAAGGCACCTGGGATACAAGAACATTCTCAACAGATAGGTTAGCGGAAAATAGAATTAACTGTCCAACTGTCCGACCGCCCAGCGTACGACTGTCAAATCAAACAAGAAGAGTGAAATATTGTCACATCACCCAAGTACAGACAGAACTGATCGCAAAGTTCAGAGTTGATTTGAACGATAAATCATTTTCTCAGTTGGAAAATTGCGCCTTGTTATCTAGGTGGAACACGCGCTAAAAACAAAAATTTTGAAAGCAGTTAACGCAGCAAACGAGAACTGAACGTTGAAACTGGAAGTCAAACCTTGGTGAACAATCAAAAGCAGCGCCCTCACTATTTCAGAGAGATACAAGCTTATGTGACGTGAAGAGTGCTCTCATAGCTGAGACATTTCATTTTAAAAGGAACAGGTAGCGCCGAAATAAAATTCGGTTGTGCGCAACGACCTTACAAGATGTCTAAACTTTTGATATCCTTGCAGTGAGGGTAGCCTATCTCACCTGGTTACATTCTCAGTTCATCCGATGGCATAAACTCATACATATCGGAAGTGGAAAGGTCATTCCTGTATTTCAAAGATACTCGCGGACGATCGAGTATTGAAATCGGTTCACTCAGTACACTATTAAAAGAACGCCAAGAGCCTGATTCGTAACAAAATATTGAAAGCAGCATCCAGCAGGTACGAATGCATTCGATTGTTCCAAAGTTGTATAAACAAATAACCCTGGTCCGTAAAATGGTTGTGTGAGTTTGAAATCGGTTCACTCAGCTGGTTCGAAGATCCGGTTGAACGACAGCAGAACAAGCCATTGTTTGGACAAATATTGAAATATGCGGAACCAGTAAGGTTTATGTGCTCGAAATGGAAAATGCAAAACAAAACACCAGTGGTTTCCAAAACAAGCAACACTCAAACTGGTGCCGTCATGGTACGCTGGACGTCATTATTCAGGTAACAGTCTGAAAAAAACCTAAAGAGAGCTAAAAAGCTTGATTAAACAGAAAGCAACCGCATTTTAGATCAACCTACCTTATTCTCCGTATCAGTGCTTGTAAGTAAAGGCTTAGAAACGAGTCCAGCTTCGTCGTCCCCATCTATATCTAAGTAGGACACGTCGACTTCACGGAACACCCGCTTGGGGCTAGCAGTATGCACTTCAAAATCCTGAGGACCGAACTCCTGATCCGTTCGAGGTGGTTTTCGCGCGTGTGGTACATTGATCAACTCGTAAGATGGATCGCGAGCAGCAGCGCATTTGATCGATCGCTTGATCGGTGGTACTGGCTCGTTTCTCGAAGGTCGTCGACTGAGGAGCACAGTGTCCACCATTTCGTAACTTGTTGTGTACGAAACGACCCTACGGTAGACCCGCCAGTGCCGAAGAAGTTGTGCTGGCACACGGAATATAAACTGGGTGTCAGGGAAGCTGGCGCTTTTCTGCAGCTGATCTCGAAGCAGCCGTTCACGCTGGAAGATGAAATGGCTACAAGTTGGCACGTATTGATAAGGATTAAACGAAATTTCGCAAATAATGTTTGAAATGTGTCATATGGAAAAGATCAGAAAAGTGAAGACACGGAATTCAAAGGTGGATGAGTCATTCTCCGTACGTTTCAATCGTCCTGTTGAAAGTAAATCATCGCTGACTTACTGAAATCTATCAAAAACTGGACAACTCATAAAATCAGTGAGAGTTGTTCCCAAAATACTGCACAGAAGTACCCTCAACAAGATGTGCATGTATCAACTTTGCCGTCCAGACGATCTTCCACACATTGGAAGATAAGGTAACTTGTTGCGTCATTTTAGTCTGTTTTAGCTAGTTACTGCTAGTCACGTTCAGGTGCCTAAACTCGTGTCTCAGTCTCTGTTCTAGGAGCTAAATCAAATCAGTATTGGTTCGAATTGTCAACCACAAAATATATCAGTATTTGGAGTCCTTTACCGTGTTCTCTAGAATGCTCCCACATGGTTGTACGCCAGCAAAACGTCAATGTGTACTACTTTTATATTGCTGTTGATGATGGTGATGATGTATCCAGTATGAGTAACACTCTCATGATGTTTGTCTCTTGTTTTGTATTATGCGGTCGCTGATACCCTTCTGACCAAATAAGTTCCCAGGGTCTCAAAGATTCTACGGTGAAATTTCCCATACAAGCAATCGTCTACACCATAACATTCAATGCAAAAGAGTTGTCGGCTTCACTACTAGTTCGAATCCCCCATGGTTAGGTTCCACCCAGTTACGTAGCTGTTCAGGGGTTATACGCTGGTTGGCTAGTTTTTGCAAGGCGGCACATCGATCAGGTGAACTTACATCATTGCAATTTTCGTTATTCACACCACCAGTCAACTCACAAGCCTTGTGATACCGTCAAGACTATTTATACAGATAGATGTTTACATGTCGATGAACAGAACGGAGCATTTTCGACAACAAACTACGAAATCGGGTGGCCGGACTGCGGATTGATCACTGACGTCACTAGCCCGCATGCACAGCCCTAATACTGGTCATAGGCCATCAGGTTGGTTGTACCTCCGTAGTTCCTATCCCTATTTACCTCCAGAAACCGTTTATCTAGCCATTTGTCTCGCTACTGAAGAGACCATACGAGATGCGGGCATCTATTGGTATCCGCATACTCACTGAAAATCAAATGTAAAATGTGTGTGAGGTCATCACACGATGTAACTTAGCTCCAGGGCTACGAAACTATTGGAATGGAAAAGAGATTACTTGACTATCAGCCTTCCTTGAGTGGCGTCAGCATCATCGATCCCAAGATTCACAGTTTACTTGTTCGTGTGTCTACCGGTTATCTTTGAGCTTCGACGAGTTTCTTTCATCACAGGAGCATGTTTCGATCTGATTTTGATAAGGGTATAAATTTTTAAAAATGGTAACAACTAACAGTGCTACTCTGAAGAGCTCATCCGTTAGACACAATTTGTTTAGGAAACTACGTGAATGAGTGCAAAATTGGCAGCAACAGATAAGCGATCCGTCAACTGAGTAGATTGTGACGCAAGATGATCACCGTCAGAAGTACAGGTCTCCTTGGAGTGTGGCCTGCTTTCGTTGTCAACAGTCTTCATAAACACAGCAATCCATTTCTGACACCTCCCGATAACCGACGATAGGATATAAATTAAAACGAACAGTTAGGCGAGTTTACCCCTACTGTGCGCCAGTTGCGTAGTGGGTAAATGGAGAGTTTACGCAACTAAAAAAACGTGTAGAATATCGCGTCACTAAGGCTGATGACACTAATGATCACTAAGGCTGACTGACAGAAGTACATGAGTAATCGATAAAAATACTTAATTGTTAAATCACACTCCAGCAATAGTTTCTCTGGATGAATACCGGGTATAGAAACAATCAATATTAAGGGGAATGATGAAGAATAAGCTGAGTGCAAAACATTTTATTGACGGAACTCTTCGACAACACTTTTCGACAGCACGCGACCGATTTCATTCTTCCTGGGGCTCATCAGCTGGGCACAGTCCATCAGTTTTATATTTTACTTGAACTTAAACTGTACTCAGTTCGCGAAACACACGCACATGCACACTAATTGGATTTTTAATGGAGATCCAACTAAATCACAGCTGAATCATTTATCATTTGTGATATCACAGAACCTACCTGGAGGGTAATTCAGCTGGCCTCTGGGACCATTGGGTTTTAAAAAAAATGGCTAAGCTGTACCACCCCTTCGGTTCCTAGCTACCATGCCACACGAAGGAGGCACGAGGGCTGGGATACTGCCAGGTTGCCCAAGCCTGGACAGGGGAAGTCGAGAGGCAGAGGTCGGGTTCGAACCACGGACCTTCCGGTCAGTAAATTCGCGCTCTAACCACTTGAGCTATCTCGCGTGTTATGTCTTGCATGATTTCTGTTAAGGCGAACAGATCACTGTCAGCAAGCACCGAATATCCCAAGACGAGTAGCCTGAAATTAAACAGCATACGGTCCACACGTGCAAAGAAAAAGAAAGAATATTACTTCGAAACCTGTTGCAATGGGAATCGAACTCGGGAATTGGTCAGAAAATCGCGCTCTAACCACTTGAGCTATCTCGCGTGTTATGTCTTGCATGATTTCTGTTAAGGCGAACAGATCACTGTCAGCAAGCACCGAATATCCCAAGACGAGTAGCCTGAAATTAAACAGCATACGGTCCACACGTGCAAAGAAAAAGAAAGAATATTACTTCGAAACCTGTTGCAATGGGAATCGAACTCGGGAATTGCCACACGGCACTTTGAAAGGGGAGAATAGGTAAGGTTCGAAATAAACGATGCATCTCAACATGCGTTTTCTCAAGAGGCAGACGTTCCTCATAAGGCAGGAATAAACAATGCAGAAAACTTTTGATCCTAATAATAAGTACTCCATCAATGACTGTGTTAGACGAATGTGCTGTAAGAGGTGAAGCCCCAAGGTCCTCCATATGAATAATCACCCGATGCGTTAGTGGAAAAACCATTGGCAAAATTATGAGTCAAAATTTTCTACATGCATGCTCGTCACGCGACAGGCTTTCTTTATGAGAATTCAGAAAACCATGTCAGTTGGAGGTATGCAAACTGACGAGACCAGGCTGGGTAAAAGCCTAGCGGAACTCTGTACATTGGAATGCATCGAAAGTATGCCGCGAGGAGATTGTGGTGGAAATTGAATACAAAGCAAGCGAACGAAGTGGTATCAACAGCCGGAGACAAATAGCGAAGACCTAAGAAGAGAACAAACTCGTTGAATAACATAAAAGCCACTCGATTGATTCCCTTTGACCAAATTGATGGTGACCCAGAGCATTCAGACACGAATCACTCAAAAACCTCTTGAAAACATAGGTAACTGTTCGCTGAGTGCACATGGAACAAGTTGACCTGGGTCGCGAGACAGCAAAGTATGGTACGAGGCCACACAAAGTTTTCACGGAAATCACGGAAATATGCAAGGGAATCGCAGTGTGAGAACAGAGCTCATTAGAACAAATTAGACGAGGCGATAGATAACTGAAAGGATCTGCGACTTACGTCACGAAGAAAGGTCAAATCCCGGCTGATGAAGAAGGCATGTTGCTCAAGGCCACTCTGCATGCACTTGGACAGAACCATTTCGTGTATGTCATATTTATGCGCCTGAAAAACACAAGGAATGCAAAGATTTTAAAGTGTAGGTTACAACATACCTAGATACCTGGATGCAATGTATAACAAATATTTGTCGACGAGTCAGCCTCGTGGTTAAACATCGTGGTTAAACGCCGCCAGCTTGTGCCAACTTGCTTACAGTAAGATGACATCCAAATAAACAGTTTCCCAGGATTGCCGACACCGGAGAGGTTGAATCACTCCAATTTTCACCGTCACAATAGTCTTCGGTATAACTTTGGTACACAAATATCAAACCCACAATTTGGTATCCATAGAAAAGTATTCAAAAACCTACCGGCGAAGGGGTTTTAGTTAGGTCCATAAAACGTTCTGTCGGGTATGACAGCGAAGTTCATCTTTACCTCAAAACATGAACAATCTCCGCAATCCAGTGGATGTAAACCAGCTCACCAGGTGGCAGAAACATTACCCAAGCACAAAGTCCAGTTTCGGATGATTGTTCAACGATAAGATCCTAATCCGGCTTTCCATGATCGTATGGTTGTGGAACTTTCCGAACCACAGAACACAATATTTGAAGGATATGAGTAGCTTACAATTAAAACCAGTTGTACTGAGTAGCAACAACAGTCATTCTATCCGTTGAAATGTTGCCTTTAAAAAGAGGGTCATCCCTCGCTTCTGAAATTCTACGTGGAAACCTTCGAAACGTAACATTAACCTAGTTTCTTATATTTGTAGCAGAGTGTGATGAATGAAACCAGCCAATCTGATGGAGATTGAGGGAGGCCTGATGCGGAACTAGATTCAGAGATTTCGAACCGATTCCAGGTTTCCGAATCTATCCGGTCAGACATCATTGGTGAAGTAGGAACGTAGTCAATTGAAAAGGCATCCATCACGTGGACACCTTAGCTTTCACAAGTAACCAACTGTACACTTCTTTATGTTCTAGGCCTTAGAGCGTAAACTAAGTCAGGTGGGGTAACCTGCATTGTGGAATGTTCCATGCCTAGGTTAGAAAAATACTCTTCACAAGTTCCCTGTTTGTCTTGGAGCCATTCTTTCACAGCGCGATTAAACCTTTCGGCCATTTCGTTGGCCACTTACGGGCTTCGGAACTGGGCCTTCAGTAAGCCTGAAACCTGGAGCCAAGTCATCATACTTTCAAGACAACAATCTGTTGCTCCCCTGCTGCTATGGTTTCCGTCCACTGCGAAGAAGAAACTTGGGTTTCTGACATAGTGTACAACTCGATCCGTTTTCGCTTGTCAGTCGCTGCAATCCGGGTGGTTGACTATGATAGCTCAAGTATATTGATGCACGACTGCCAACAGCCGCGTGACATGGACCACACCATTTCCTCCAGGCATTCGCGTTTTCTCTCGTTAATCATCTGGAAAACCACTCTACACCTCGCACACCCAGAAACAGCTGACGGAGTTGAAAGTCGTAATGCGCCATGGAGTCCTCGACCGGGTTGTAGCGGACCGCACACGATCTGTCAACCACCACTTGTCTACCTTGATCCTTGGTGAAAACTTCAATCGATGCAGCACGTACGCCTGCCACTGATGCCACAACCCGTGTCTTGCAAGTGTCGAAATTACTTTTCGAAATCCCACTGATAGTAATTAGGTTGCACACCTACTTCTAAACTATTGCGATTGGCGACCGCCCTAAAATTTGTCAAGGATATCTAGGCGAATGGTTCAAGTTAAACAATCTGAGAAGGCATCAGCACAGTAAGAAAACAAACAAGTATCCGCGCAAAACCTATATTTTACATGCAACCGTTTGTACAGAGTCTGGACTCGCTACGCAACATGTTACCACGTTTGGTTATATACAGTTGGAGAGGGGGGCGAAACGGACCAAGTGGTTAGAGTGCGAATTTACTGATCGGAAGGTCCGTGGTTCCAGCCCGACCTCTGCCACTCGACTTCCCCTGTTTAGGCCTGGGCGACCTGGCAGTATCCCAGTATCCGAGTGGCATGGCAGCTAGCCACCGGAAGGGTGTCACAGATGAACGATTATTATTTTTTTTTATTATTATTGTCTGTTGGAGAGGAATTTAGGCAGTCGTGTATGTGTATCTGTAACTCCTCCAGGTTGATTGCATCCCTCTATGGCTTGCTTTAGTCATCAGTTGCGCAACTTTGTCTTTAAACGTCCTGGGTGGCCAAGAGATATTGGCCAGTATGTTGTCATTCTGCATCACACGTGTTTTAAGCTCATTGTCTTTTTAGGTAATTGTTGCTTCCTTACTTGTCTGGCCTCAATCCACACCGATTTTCTATCCACCGGAAACGGGCACAGATCTCCGCCTAATACTCACAATTAAGCGGCGGATTTCCTGTAGTTCTGAGTTGACATTTCATTACCTTCGCATGCGATAGCTGCCGTTTTACGGTAAGCGCTTGGCTTCCATCGACGTTGATGCTGCTCATAATTCCTCCATGCGTTCTTCCGCCAGTGGATAGTGCTGAAGCTTACATTTTAACGCCCGAAAAATTTCCGAAAAATTACGTGATAAAGAATAACACAAGTGAATACCATAGTCAGTCATGCAGAAACTGCTATTTTTCATCCCACTTTTAATCACATGGTACCATTTGTCCTGTAGAAACAGCCTCTTAGTGAAATTAGGTGAACAGACAAATTCTAGACACGATTTTATAAACTCGGAAGCTGAATCCGAAGGTTGGGAAAATCAAAGACCAACACAATTTTGCCGGGTCGCTCTGAGCAAAGCCTGATATTACGGGGGCTGTTACCAGCTGGTACCAATAAAGCTAGGTCAAACACCGGTGCTCCCACTAATCAATGGTCGTTTCCAGATGTAAGCCCTGGGAGACCCTGAAGATAGCGATTGACAAAGACGATCAACAGCATGCACTTTTTGGTGGGACGTGCTCTCTCCAGAAAACCAAGACCACAGGAATTCCCTCTAGAAAAATTGTGCAGTCAACATCGTATACTTCAAATCACGCCGAGTTAAACGAGACAATCCAGTAAGATGAGTTGATTCAAGGAGCCAGCTAGTCATTAGACAGCTTCGGAATTTTCGGCATACTCCAGACTTCGGCGTTGAGCCACAGCGTAGGACTGAGCATAATCTGTCTGTCAACTGTCCGCGAATACAGAGCTGATTGATTAACCGCAGTGTGGTTAGAACACAAGTGAAAAGAGCGACAACTGACGTGCAAAAGCAACTGAGTTGTTCGGGTGTTCAACCCTCTCCATTATTGTGCAGACAAATCAACATGAAACAGTGGTTCTGAGGCTGTTGAGCTGACTACTTCCTTGAAGCCACTTAATTACACAAGATATGAGCAATTAAGCATGTTATGAAGTAATATCTTATTGCGAAGTCCCCATTCAAAAAAGGGAATGTATAAAACGGAGCCCTTGTCAGGTACGATTGAGTGCACGATTGACCTGAGGAGATATTGCCCCAAGGAAAGGCCTAGCAAACGCTTAACGCTCTCCTGTCTTCATTAGTTCGCCTCATGGCACACTGGATGTAAACAAGCATGTTGACTGCAGTGGACACTGTGTTGGCTATCTACATGATGAACACTATCAACGGAGTCATGAGTAAAATCCTTAGAGTTGGGTGGGTGTACTCCGAAAAGGATACCAGTCCGTTATCAGTAAACGAACCCAAAGAACCTCAGTTTCTTTACAACTATTCAAACACTAAGGCCCAAAAATCCACCATAGCCGACAGATATTGTGGGTTGTCTTGTACGATAGCTCCCTGAATAGTCTGCACATGAAAACTCGAATCAACATTCGGATAAACTGAACGCCCACTGAAAGTGACCACAGACATTTACCATAAACAAACCTGTAAGGCTCCTAACCAATCGTCCCTATCCAACCTCACTTTATCGTCCCCTAGAGACTCGGCTTCAAATTGGAAGACGCTGTTTTGGATTACAGACTCACCTGCAAGTATTGCTCTTCAAGCTCTCCCATACGCCTCTGACGCCATTCTGCAATATGGTATAAATGGCCATTTGTTCTTCTCAGCTCCTGGTCAGCTTGTTCCTGATAGGTTAACCAGTCGGTTGCGAACGCCTCTTTGGCTTCGGCCAAAATCAAACTGAACGTGGCTTGTTGTATCAACGGCTCGGCTGGAAGAAGCGAATAATTGTAATGTACGAGATAAGAATGTAAAGCCAAATTTGGAAAAGTCAAGCAAAAATAGGAATACCGGACATAAAAGACTAGAGAAGGACGTGTACAGGATATCGTCATTTCGCGAATCAAACTTATTCTCAACAGGAGATTCAACTGAATCCCTCGTTTATGAGACCCTTCTTCAACTGAATGTTAAAACCTAATTAGTGAGCAAATGAGTGTATTCCGCGGAGTGCGTACGATTCGCTTCCATCATAATACAACGTTGGTGGCAACTCGGATACTGCACCTACCAGATGAGCTACAAGGACGAAACACAGCGTCTGCTGTCGAAACGTTTTCAGCAGCCTTATGAATATCTTGTCTCGTCGGGATTTCGACATTCGCTTTTTCACTGAAACTGTGCCAAGTAGCAGAACGTCAGATTTGCTCTTGTGTACAACGGAAGCAGACATTATCCAACCTATCTGCTCTAGAGTTCACTTAGTTATTACCCCACCTTTCCGGGAAAGCGTGCTTAAAAGCCGGACCCAACATGGATTCTAGTATGGTTCAATCCATCTACCAACACCAACACCCAAACACAAGCATGGAATAACTGCACAACTATTTTCAAGGAACAGTTACACCATGTTGGTATACAAAAGTGAGATCGAAGAGGGTGGGAATACATGTGAAAATAAATAAATAAATAAATGTGTTGCAATCTGGCTTTTGCATTCCCTGTGCAACAGATATGAAGAAAAAGTGTTTGCTGTAATACCAGCCGGTTCAAGTAACAAGGGCGAGCGTACAGCAAACTTAAAAAGTTCGACAGTGAATGAAAAGCTGGAAAACCACAGCCAACTACAACGTTGTTTCCGACATAACACACTACTCATAAGGTTGCTGAAAACTTCGACATCCACGACGGATTTGGTCTTTCCTCAGGCTCATCAGGTAAGTTAAATTCCCCGAGTTTCCGTCAACATTACGGTCTACTTGAAACCAAATTGGATGGAATTCGTCAAATGCTCTCCTCTGCACACGAATTTGGTTCTGACGGGAAAGTAAACTGAATCCACCTGAATGTCACGTTTATGATGGTCTTCGGCTGAATGTGCTGCACAAGGCCGTCTCATGTCTCAATTGGTACCATCAGAAACTAACATCCGGTGCACTACCGTCCAGATCAGCTATACGTCCCTTAGTAATCGTCACTGAAAACTATGGAGCAAGCAGTTAAGCATCAATGGGACACGTTACTTGAGGTTTTCAACCAAGCAGTATCGCTTAGCATTTTCTCTAGTCCGACAGAATGGTCTCCCCAAAGGGGATCTATAAGAACTGAAAACCACTCCTCAAGAAAGCTTAGGTGCGCTCCAGTCAGCTACATCCGCGAACAGAGGTTAAAATAGTTTTCCACGAAAACAGTGCACGCAGATGTCTACGACACTGGTGCATACTAAAAAAAAAACACGTATCCTCTAAATGTCACTTCTGCGATCGTTTGTTCGTTCTTTTTCAACCAGTCTGTCCATTCGGACACTATGGCCTCTTCGGCAGCACAGTGTCTAATCAGAACCATGCAGATGCAGCACATGAAAACATTATTCTGAACTTCCGGTCAAGTACGGGACACAATCAATTTGGTATACGGCACAAATTGAGCTGAAGATATTCAGTTCCCAAACGCACCCTTCAGACGGAAAATGAATGGACCAAAAGGGTGCGTTAAATGTCATGGGCACTGTATTGGCATTACCTGATCGGTAGACATTCAACAGCTGGTTGTTCGCAGTTGAACCTAGCACACCCGATGCGTTTCTTAATACTAGTTTGACTGATTTGCCAGGGATCTGTTGCCAATGGACGCTGAGTCATTGTTAGACCAAGGAACGGGAGTGCTGGAATTGGTAGTTGCGCCTTCAATTTGACAGGACGTATGTTGCGCACACCTATTAGCTATATTTGTACGGATGCGACTACGAGCAAGAAAAAGGTTACTTGCTGACAGTAGTTAGGCAATCATTGGAACAAGTAGTTGTCTGTTACATGCAACTAGTCTGGAAAAAAGGGCCGACTGAAATAAACTTGGGCAGTCAGCTGAAAAACAAGTTCGCATACCAAAGGGGCTTCATGTGATTCAGTATTACGAACCTTAGGAGAACAAAATAGAATCACACCGGAAATCATCAGTCGTAGAATGACCCGGGAAGAGCAGATGTCGAGCTAGTTGTGTATTTCCCCATAAGTATATGGTAAAATCGCTAATGTATGGTTTACCAGTTCCGATTAGTTCTATTTTCCAAACTCGAATTCGGTGGATAGAACAGAGAAGAAAAAACTCCAAAAACTTGTTTTTACTTCTTTACTTCCGAAACAGCATGTGCATAGATTTACAGCCCGGGGGCCGGCAGTTGAGTTGAAGGGACCCTTGTGAGAATCAAACACGATCGTCGAAGTGATGAACCGTGTTCTTATCCACTTGGTCACCTACACATGAGCTGATCAACAAACCCAAGTCCTTCTCTGTTAAGTTGAGCATAGGCATAACTGGAGAGCTTCACCTGATGTTCACGGTATTCAAAAAACAGTAGGAAGTTCCAGCGCTTGTTTTTTCTGTCACTATATGAAGTGTTATCATCAGTTTCGCACACAGATAGTAAGAAGCACGATGAATCACATTGCTAATCCACTCAAGATGACCGAGAGCCGGTGAAAATCCACAAAACCGCATACACTAAACTTAGGATTACACGTAGACAAACATGCACTACGAAAACTCGGTTACGTTCACTAGCATTTGTTTTCACCCAAGCATTCAGAGCTTTTATTTGTGAGCTCAAAGTGGATCATCGCTGAACGACAACTTCGCATTATTTCCGAATGGAGATGGAATGGAAAACCAAACTCAATAATCAAATGCTTCCGTGCTACTGTGTACGCCAACCCTCGTATACTATTGTTCGGTAGACAAAAACTACCAAAAAGAATATTATAGGGATAGTATATACAATCGGTTCTCGAAATTTACGTGCACTTTCCTGGGTTCCTGCTACTTCTTCCAGAGAGACAAAACCGAAGGATCCACAAGAGCTGTAAGTGTTTGGGTTAAATCATACAGGCGCAATATCTTTTTGCCAACAAAAGCAAGTGGCTGGAGTAAAACTGCTAGAAACACGGTGTTCCCCCGCCCACACACTCATCGTTCAGGTGTAACACCCTTTCTATCCTTAATTGCCGTGCTACCCGGAGGAAGCATGAGGTCTGGGATACCGCCAGGTTGCCCAAGCCTAGACAGGAGGAATCGAACCACGGGGAGTAAATTCGCGCCTTAACCACCGAGCCATTTCGCCCCTCATGAATAGACGCCCAAATTACTTATGTTCATCAGCTACGAGGTACCTGGGAAAACCCCTAAGTGGGTCACATCGCGCTAAAACCAAACGAAAGATCAATCATCCCATCGTGCGTGCCCAAAACAAAACGACTAATTGACTAAACATACCAATTCCATCGCTGATGGATTGAAGTGCTGAATTCTGACGCATCGCGTCGAACAAACGACAAGCGTACTCTCGTAAACCGTCTTGGCGGACCAGCTGTAGTGAAGATGAGTGGCAAACACACAGTAGACAGGAGCGGTTTTGTGAATTCACAATTTGTTTCCATCAGACAGTCGCATAAAAGTGGCAAAGTGGTGAACAGAGAACATACATCAACTAAGAACAGGCTTACCGAATAAAAACCAGTATAGCTTACAGAGACAGCTAATATACACAAAGATTTCACAGGAAAACAAGATAACGATGGATACATATTCTCTATTTACCAAAAAAAAGTCTATTCAGACTGTCAACCTTTTGTGACTATCTTATTGTGAGATACAAATAACAACAGACTTACCCGTTTCGCTTCCTGTAGCGACTTCCCTTCGTCTGTGAAGCGGTGAACGAAAAATTGGGGCAAACAGGTGATCATAGAGAACTAGAGTAATAACGTACACAGTGAAGAGAAAAGCGACAAGCACGGGAATGCGAATTGAAAAGGATCTGGTAGCAGTCGGGTTGCAGGTAACAATATTTAGCTAAAGAATGCTGGATAGATAAAATTCAGCCAGGCAGGTGTGATAATTATGTATACCAATGGAAAATCCAGTAAAATTTGACTGCCGCAAAAAGTGTTCGCTTTTCTAATGGGTGTCAGTTAACAACATAGCCGAAATGAAACAGGTTCATTAATCGCACATCCAAGCATGTGGAATGGAAACGCGAAGTGATTGCGGCTTCAAATGAAACCGGTATTCCGAAAGATCCAAAACATGCTTCTTTGTGGAAGAAATGTGATCAGCCAACTAAAACCAATCGTCACTGACTCTTTATAGTATGTGCATCACAGAGAAGGGTCCATACGAAAACTGAAATTCATGTGTGCATTTCTCACTGAAGGAATACCCGTAGCCAGGCAAAAAGAGTAAACACAGTAATACAGGAGCATCACTAATGCACTGTGAGACGGTCGTCATGGTTACCAAAAAATAGCTATGGAATTTTCAAGCTCATGGACATCATGCAGGCAGGAAATCGATTAAGAGACCACGATACACGGAAGACACGTACCGCGAAGTCGAGCAATCGTAGTTTCTTTGAAGTCTTGGAACCAGCCAACCCGCGTCGGCTGTCGGAGCCCATTGATCACAGCCAGGCAACGGTCAAGCAACATGGAGTTGTGCAGTCGCAAATCGATCGGGATACGAGCAGGAGTGATGAAACGATAAGGAGGATGCTTCGTTTCCGTTTGATGCTGCCAATAAGAAAGGAAGCATACTCTAGCGACCAATTTGATAACGATGGCTATTAAAAGAATTGCGAATAGTTCCAATGTCCTGAGTTGCACAAAGATTAGACCTTTTTCTTCGTCACAGCGCAATCGTCGAAATTCGGTTGGAGTCCGAAAGGTGGTGTACACGTTGCAGGTGATTCCAAGTTCCCGGGTCCATAAACGATGGACGAAATCATCCTCGACAAATACACTCATGTGCATACCACCTGATTTTCAAGGGAGACCAAACTGAACCTCTCGTTTCTGATATTCTACTGGAATCCAGATAAGCCTCCCGTCAAAACCAAATTGGTGTGCAGATGAGTGTACAAGTCCAATTTCGTGCAATTTGGGTTGAAGTGAAATATAAAGTTGACGGAAAATCGGGGACTGTAACTACCTGATGAGTCCCAAAAAGGGCGATACAGGTCGTGGGCTGTCGGAGAGTTTTCAGCAACCTTGTGAGTAGTTTTCTTTACGAAAATATAACCATCATGATTACCAACTTCATCTGTTACAGATGCCGTTTTTGGTGAGGATCGATTAGGCTAAAGCTGACAGTACACACTAGAAAAAAAACAGATAAGCTAAACAATCAAGTCAGTGATTCATGAATCAGCACGGAAGATTGACTGGATATGAGAAAATGTCAGATAAACAGTGGTGTGACTGACGCTAATCGAAAAACGAGGGTGGGAAATTCCCGAACACAGAGAAACATGCCCTTGGTCAACGTAGTGCCCGACAATGCCTGAATCAGGATAACTCTCTCATGCAGCTCAGTAATGTTCCACGCCAAGTACGCGTGTGTCCAGTCCGGCTTGTGTGTGTGTGTGTACAAGGGATGAGAAAACACCACCGAAGTCAATGTAATGTGTCAATCTTCCGCAAAACAAGAATAATATGTCTGAGAACGCTGGTGTGGTGGCAAGGGGAAACATACTGACCACTTGTCCGGAAACGTGGAAGAAACGTGCAGTGTAAAAGATGACTGGGTAAATAGCATCATCATATTAATGTAAACGCGGGCGTCCACCGAAATACAGTCTGTTTACCTAGCTGAAGGACTTCTATGGTGAATTCCCGGACCTAGTCCCTGGTGACGTTGGGTGAATTGTTCTCAAGACCAGCTTCAGGCAATCTGACAGGCATACACAGTCCAACTAGTAGCCATACGGTTGGCCGGGGACTTTACGCTTGCTTGCTTATCCAATGGGAACATATTGGCACACAGTTTTACCCCGTATCAGTACAAGTGATTGCATTGACAACTGTCAAGAGGAACCCTATCCACCGTGAGGGCACCAGCGTTTTAGTCACTAAGCACTGTCGTATGAAGCTAGTTAGATAATCATGGAAAGGTCTGGGGGGAATTGAATTATGAGGGATTTCCTATACGTCGAAACGGTGCGTCCCTTTTCAATAGTACACGTCTGACTTTTACATTGTTTTTGGTTGGTATCTTGAGCAAAAACGTCATAACCCATAAACCAATTGGCAGCTCCATTATTGCCGACCAGATTCGAAAAATATTCCAGCTTCGTTGTGGTAGCCGCAAATCTATTGATCGGCTACGTAGTAGCCAGAATTGCTGTTAGACTTCGTCATCACTACACAATTGTGCCTTCCTTCTCTGTCAGAACCACATACACAGTAATTCATCAACTTCGTCCAAGATGGCTAATCTCCGTCTACGATGAACCTCAAAAGTTCGCGATGATCCTTCCTGTTGTGGCCTGCATTGGTCATCTGAGACTGGATTTATCGAACATCTTTCCGAATTCGTGTTCAGTTGTAGTGCACATGCGTGGCGATCAATTAAATTCATGACTATATTGACATATACTAACGACCGTAAACAGCATGTGCATTCGAATGGCCGAATTTGTGGTGACAGGAAGACACAACATTCCATGAACCAATTGGTACTCATGCCGACAAGCAGTTTCAAACTTCATTTCTGCTATTGTCATAGAAGTGTACTATCATTCACCTATTAATAACGGAGATTTACGGCTTCATTAAAGGAGCAACATTTTATAAAGTTGGGCGACTTATTTGGTAAAGCGAAATCGAAACAACAAAGCTAATCTGTGCAGTAGATATGGGTTTGTCCATTGTTCAGGCTAACAAAATTTCCTTCTCAGATAGCTTGTCGCTATCATCGTAATCATCATCATCAGAGATAGCAACATCAGTGTTTACACTTATGCCTCAATGCCGTGTCACCAGTTTTTCTAATCAAATTTAAAGCATTAAAATGAAAAGAACAGAGTTGGTGGAAGAAGGGTCCTGACAATCGCCTATCGCAGGCATTCCGAGGTGTCTACACCCATAAGTACTCAATCAATCTGAAAAGAAACTGAAAACACGAGCGCCACTGACACAGATAAGCCACCATTTCTGGCAACATCTACAGCCAAGCACAGGAGGGGTCACGAATACCCCATCTATGAATGCGCACTGAACCAACAACACACGAACTCTCCGAAATCTCTTTCTGCCAAGTCATGCGTTGTCAACGCCGCTACTTCCGCCATTCTGAAGGAGCCGAGGAGAAAAACGCTCGTCTCGGAAGGCGCTGTGTCGGCATCCGTAGCATGTGGAAGAGTAGCCGCAATCACCGGAACTGGATGTTTCCGCCATTGAAGTACCTGCTGCACAAACGAATACCCGCTTTCTAATTACCTCATTAAGAATCAGTTGAAACCACCCGATAACAGCAACGCTTCTGAGGCACAGGTGTTCAAAAATTTCAGGATGCCTCACATTATCTGACCACACAGGCCGTTTCGCTGCCATACAACAATACAGACGTCATTGTAGCCTGGTAAATGTGACTCGTGAGACCCAGTGATACGCCTTTTTGAAGCCACAAGTGACACAAATTAACAAAGGTGAATCGCGCCTTTGAGATTCGTGCGCTGACACACTTCCTTCAGAGCAAATACAACTACCAAGGTATGTAAAATTCTCAACACCCTCCTACATTTGTAATGGGTATTTTCAGAGGCTGCATGTTATGAAGCATGAATTTCCACTTGGAAGATGCTAGGCATATGCCAAAAGTTCGTATGATGGTGGTCTGTTTACCCAACAGAGCTTGTGCTGCACCTTTCTCTTCAAAGATGTCGTCTACGTGCTCCAAATCGACAAGATTCTCACCAACAATTCGAACACCGGGGTTTTGAATATCTTCCAGCGTTCACCTGATTATTTCATCGACGACGAGGCTGAACAAGTATGGAGAGTGTGTACATCCTTGTCGGACACAATTTTTTGTAGGCAAGCCGTTGGATAGTTCACCACACGCCCAAAAGTATGTAAACATAGGGACCGAATCATGCTCATAAACTTCTTGGATATACGCTGTTGAGCAAGTGTAGTTAACAACACTGAACAATTGACAGAAGGCACACTCAAAATCAAGAAATACCAGGACCGTGGATCGTCAGTACCTATGGTGCTGCTCCAATATCTGATAGAGTGTGAAGATGTGGCCGACACAGCCCCTACCCGCTTGATGCCGCTGTAAGACAACAAAGAATCAGTGACACCAGAAGCCCTGCTACCACATTTACTGGAATACAATACCCACCCCTGTATATCCAGCTGCAGCGGCCTCTGCATCACCAGAGGCACGAAGCCGGGACCTGAGAGAGCGAGAGGGCAGTCCGTTTGATCACATGACACATGATCACATGCATCCTTGTTTCTGACAGACTATGTACATCAATGCAGAGGGAATCCAGTGCATGAGCAAGAGCTATCAGTTTTCCTGCTTGCTACAGAACGCGAATATTGAGGACAGCTGAGCAGATCGGCTTTCGAGGTTTGAAAGCAGATCTTGAAGTCAAACGTACAGAAGCTGCATCTGAATGTAATTTACGGTGAGCAGAACGGTAAGCACTAGTGCTGGGACCTGCGAAGAGATTATTGAAAATTGGGTGGGAAGAGGTAGGTAGAAGAAGGGATACCTCAAAGTGTAAGATATGTGTCAGGAGTAGGGTGTTTTCACTTGCCCAACCTACTGTATTCAAAAAGTAAGGCGACCCGGCTGGTGACGCCACGCAAGGGCCGGCGTAGCGTAAGATTATTTTTAGTTGTAAGTACCATGGTTGTAAATAGTCTGGGATACCGTCAGAGAGCCCACACCTAGATAACATGAAGTTTAAAATTCCCCAACCAAGGCCTTTGGCTCGAAAACCTGATCGGAAGGCAGCGGTGTTTGACGGCAAACGTAAGTGCATTATCACTTTTATAGAACAAGTCGGCGCACATGTTCCAACTTTAAACTTGGAGAATCAGGAGACTGTGTTGGTCAGACCTCAAACCACTGACCAACCTAGTATGAGACTCTGTTGGAGTCGCATGAACACCACCCAGTATGGCTCAATGGGTCACGGAGGCACACAAAGCATCCCATCACGGCAGGATCCAGTCTTTTTGTGACAGAGTATATGTGCCGCTGGTGATCAGAAAAAGAGAATTCGTTCATCATGCGCAAGTGATTAGTGTAAACCAAGGCATGGCATATTAGCACATTATGTAGGCAGAGTAGTACATCCATAGAATCCGTCCAACAGCGACTGTCTACAGTTACATCCCGTGAAATTGTGGGCAGTACACAGATACTAGGTCTGAAAGAGGAGTTGTCGCCACAATGGCTGGGAAGGTCCTAGCACGTAACTGATACAAGAGTACACAGCAGCATATGAAGAGTACAGTTGTGTTACCCCAGTACAGACCGTTCCCTGTTGTTTCGTAACATTAACACAACTTTCTATCCGAACTATGCCAGCCCAGCTAGAGAATAGCGCTAGGCTAGGCAGTGAACATTTGGCACACAATTGGACAGAAAAACACGAGTTTCATATAAGTTCTAGCCCGAAATGGCACGTCAGTGTTGCTTGTCGTTTTTAGGTCACCCAAAAGCAGACAGCTGTCTTGCCTTCGCCAGACGTTTACCTAGCTCTCACATAAAAACTCATGGAGGAGCGGACGAGCGCCATACTGGACGGTAATCCTGGTTCATCAGTTTATGGGACACCGAGGAGGTTTACGTGGTCTACTGTGTACGACCTAGTGAGGCGATCAATCCAAAGCATCGAAATCTTCAGACATTTTGCAACGTTCGGGGTCCTTTACGGTTCTATTCTTGAACAACTAGTCAGTTCTTCAACAACGCTAAAAACTGTCCGGCTGAAGTGGCGATTCCCCGGTTAAAACCTGTAGCCTCTGTGCTGGTCATATGCTCACATAGTAACACAAGTGTCAGTCTTCTTTACAGTTCTAGGAAAGCTTATAACCATACGGATTCTATGGTTGTTCTGTCTTATATGAGTAATGCGGCAACCAACTATGACACGTCATATAGCAGCCGTTCGCTTATAGTAGATTAATCGTCTATCTCTAATTAATTACGACCAGTGAACTCAAAGGAAAGTTCTACTGGCCTACCACTCCGTGAGACGAGCGGCAGCGGGGAACAAGTACTCTATTAGTATCGGAATGACACTGGCCATCCGAGGCAGCAGTCTGACGAGTGATTGGAATCTGTCCAACATGTCTACGACAAAGTGAGGTATTCGACAGAAAGCGGATGACAGCCCTACTCTCGGCTAAAGCAGGTCGACTTGAGATCCTTTAAAGAAACGATGTTAGTTTACATCGGCCCTTCGTAAAACCCAGTGGAGCTACAGAGAATCTATGTGGTTGCCTGCTTACCTGTCTATACCCGTGATTTTATGCACTAAAGTCCATACTTCGTTGCCAGGTCATACACTGTCCACCTTTCGGTCGCTTCCACTCAACACAGGGCTGGGCGAAGAGAGCTCTGTCCATCAGACGGTCTTCTGGAGTACATGTCATAACCAGCGTAACCTATGAAGCGTGAGTAACGCATCATCTATTCTATCGTTCTATCTATCATTCTATCATCTATCTATCTATCCTTCTTCCTAAGACCATCTGGTGTACCTCAACATTACTAATCCGATGTTCCCACCAGACCTGATCAATAGTTCGGAGACACCGATGATCAAACACTGACATTTTCCATATGTTTTCTGCGCGTAGGGGCCACGTCCCTGATCCGTAGAGCACCACCGCAGTGTAAACTCTTCCCTTAACAGAAAAGTTCACTTCATGTAGCGCCATAGGTGTCGGAGGTTGGCAAAAGCTGCCCTGGAACTGAGGCAAACTGACACAATCCATTTATTAATGGAAGCCTGGCCGGATGGCAAAAGTATAGCCAGGTGCGTGGAATCTACAGCAGGACTAAAATCGCCGAATCGATAGAACTCAATCTGCCTGGACCAAGCGGAAAAATACTTGATGACCAGATTGATATTGATGAGCACACGGCAGGCAGAAACAATAAAGGCACACCACAACGGAAACATGTATTAACCGAATATCTCCAAAATAACTGCACTTTAAGAGACTTTGGATATGTTGCACTCAGGAATTAGCCACAGTCCATGTTTCTGGTCGTAGTAAAAACTAGCACAAACCGCGGTTTGAAGAACTTCGTCAAACGAGATAGCCAACATTTCACTGAAGCCGAAAGTAATATGTAGATGAAATTGGAAAAGTCAAAGGATAACTCACCAGGAGTGCGTCTCGAGGATGACACATTAATTGTTCATATGCATCCCAAAAGTCCATGACACGTTTTCGATGACTTGACTAAAAGACGAGGGAACACAATGCACGTAGTTTCAATGTGTGCCGACGGGTAAGTAAATCATGCAAGGAGGTTTGAAACCGCTATACGGATTAACTTCATGAATACTTCACTGTTTTCAACCAACTTGGACTGATATCACCAGCTTACTCGCGTCCCCATATTTATTGACCCAAATAACAACCGTAGCAGGACTACTCATTGACGTGATATGCTACTCATAAGGTTGCTGAAAATTCTTCGACAGCCCACAACCGGTTTCGCCCTTCTTGGGGCTCATCAGGTAGGCGGGAGATTCAACTGGGTTCCAGGTGAGTCTCTCGAAAAAACTAAATTTGTCTGCAAACAAGCGTATTTCGCTAGGACTACTCACCTTCACCGACAATTCACAGGTTATGAACCGCAACCGCTCCTCCATTAGCTTCGCATCCACATCCCCGTGATTGATGGACGGCCAGCCAAACAACAAGTCTAAAATTGGAAGTAGAATTGTCTTTAAAACTATGTATGTAGGTCGCAACGCCGTTAACAGGTTTAACAAACTAAACGGGCATTCCATTAATACAGATACTTGATTGCCGATAGCCGGAATAGCCCTTCGCATGGGTGATGAGGAAAAATAGGCTTCTTTGAAACGCTCGAAGTGATTTATGGTGATGTAAAGTAAATGAATGACCGCCGATTTGTAGGGCGCGTGCCGCCAACTCTGAGAATGATATATCACAATTTACCTGCTTTACAAACAGGGCAGTATTTCATACAGCGACTCTATCCACTACTCACAGAAGCCAGGTGAACGAGACCAACGTCCCTAACTCATTGTCAACAGTATAAGAACAAGGATTGTATACTAAACTCGTAGGAGTGCACTTGTGGGGACGATCTCACAAAATTCCACCCCCGAGGTTGGTACACATAGCTGAGAAACTAACTAACTGTACCGCCAATTTCCACCCACAAATGGAAATAAAAGGAATAGGTATATGGTGGACTTCCATATGACCGCGATTCACTGCAACTAAATGCCTATCTTCTCATTCCTTCCATAGAACCATGGTATACAATCTCTACCGTCCACTACATCAACTGAGTGGGTGGGGTGGACCCAGTTTTCACTACGGTAGCTGATGAAGGATACTCAGTGATAGATATATGGATTACTTGGTCTTTGGTATACATATTACAGTTCGCCTCAAAATAAACTTGGAACTGGATGTAAATCCTCGTCGAATTGTCTGTTCACCCACTTAGACAATCTGACTTCTCATGAGAAAAGCAGTGTTTTCCCTCTATAGGCATCAACTTTCGTGGAGGACTTGGAAAACATTAACCCATGTGTTTAAACATTAGTTGGAGGTTTATGGTAAAGATTTGAGTGGACCTCCAAGAGCAAAGCTAAACAAAGTTTATCATTCTTGTTGGAAAGCATTAGGTGGCAATAGGATAACCGGTCGGGTGGTCGTTTAACCGCAGAAATAGGAATCTTCCTGCTTTTGACCATAGTTGGAGAACTGGTTTAGGTATCAGCTATGGTCCTAAATGGTGCTGATTTATTCTGCCAAATAATCGTCGTTATTAATAACCACATATCCCGGGAGGATCTATTAACATACCAATATTAGATAGTCTGACTATATATTCGCGGTTATACTGTACGAATAGGCCAATAGCTGATTCACTTAAGATGGAAAAATGATCTGGGGTCGCTATCATCAACACTGGCAACAATACACTAGTACTACACACTGCTGTTTAAGTGCCATACAACCAAGAGGTAGGAAAACCTTAGAAGAGTTGAAAGAAAAGAAAAGCATAGGAACTTAGTGCAAAGAAACTTTATGTCCTTGAAGAAAACGGTCACAAATGAGGTGCTACACCTTCGGACACGAGCAAAATAAACACCTGAACATCATACCGAATTAAGGCAACGTTAGCGAGGTTGATTCAGCATCCTTCGCGAACCTCACCCGACGTAAACCAAAAGCGCAGCGACAGGCAAGCCTTACCTAGACAGTTTAACTACGGGACGACAGCCTGCACGCCACTTGGATTGACTGCGTGCCAGGATTTCCAAACACGTGCGTGCAGGATCACCTTGGCCCCAGAAAAGACACACTCAGCTTGACCGTATCCGGTTTGAGTTCACGTTGTCGTGGCATACTTAATAAATGCCCTAACCAGCTCGACCTGGAAATTTTAATCGGATTCATCACCCAGTACCCGGTTACGCATCAACTCGGTACGTACTTGCTGCAGCGAACGGATATTTGCTGCAACCATAGTGATCAAACCTTTGAAGACTCCTAAGGTCCTTGAATCAAAGGAACAACATCTCACAACGACAGTTGTCTTGTGTACAGGACCCTCTATCTTAAGCAAAATTCTGTTTTAACGCCATAACAGGCTGTTGAACGCTACCCGTGCCTTGAATACCAGCGAAATAAATCATCATCATCATCAGGAAAGCATATCAGTACCCAACAACTGATTGGAGGTTTAAACACACTAATCACGGCCCAAAATGAGAGGGATGAATAAAAGACACAAGCAAAAAGTCAGAAAACAAACTAAACTGGTGTTGAAAATATTCCGTCTAGAGATCACCTCACTCAGAGGCATTTTGGCCCCCTGTTTTGCAGATTAGCTGGAACAGCTTCAATGCATTCCAACTACACTGGCCCCTCCCATCTCTTTAAACTTCCGGTTCCACCACGCCTCTCTGTCTAAATAGGCTACGTTTGAGCTGCCGTCCGATTAATCCTCTAGCGGAATTGTACTCTGAGCCCGAGAAGATAGGCCGTCTTGTACCAAGAAGTGGTAGTGACCGTCCTAAGATCCGGTAGATTCCGAGCACGAGCTCCGAAAAAACACAAGCTGAGGTCGCGGTGTCATGTATAACTGTGGTTACGGTCAATCTCCTCCAACGAGGTAACTTTTATTTCATTGCATAGTAGGCTCTGGTGTGCTTCCCTGCTGCTAAATAGGGAGTTAGCTTATTGTGCTTAGGAAAAACGTTCATTGAAAGTCTTCACCGAAGAAGAGCGTGGTGTGAATCAGTCCGTGTATTCCAAAACGATCGACAGTCAAGGACTGAAACGCCATCGGTAGCTGACAGCGATAAGGCTAATTGAACTCTAAGGCTACTCAGCCGCAAAGATGCCAGCCTAACGGCGCACACTTCACCCAAACCCAAAACAACTGATTAGTTCAAAGTTGCAAAACACGTCTACCATGAACACTATGTTCCAACTAAACATACCACCAAGGCGTGATTCTGATGAACTAATAAGTCCTACCACCAAGGCGTGCTTCTGATGAACTAATAAGTCCTACTTTAGCACTAAAACCTTCTACGAATGCCATCGCACCCGAGCTCTACTTGATGGGTAAGAAAGACGTCGCTTAGTGAAGCAGCACTGGTTAGTTGGTGCATACATGGACACGATAAACAATACCCAGCATCTCGACAAGTGCGAGTGTTTGTGGCAAAGTCAGACGGCAGAGTCGGTTGTTTAGCGGTATCCAGTCGAGCAGTGAGGGGCCAGCTCACAAACTTAAGACTACACCAACGCCAGTACAACTTGCTTCAGTAGCTGCAGCGCCAGTCAAATTCCGCAGATTGTAACGTCTATATATGGAAGTTGCTGCAAGCTCAATTAGTGTGCATGTATTTTGCATTCGCGTCTATATGTAACAGGCGTCAGTTGAAATATCAGAGTGCGTATAGGAGTAGCTCCTTGTTCGATCTGTTGAAGAGTTTGAACCTTAATGATAGCAATGAAAACAGAAGACCAGACCCGATTAGCGAGCGCGGAGCGGGAGATGTGAGCAATGGCGTGTAATGTACCGATTCCATAGAAGCCTGACTGGCGTATCTTCAGCGTGGATCTACATAAGAGTGAGTATCAAGCTAGAAATGACGGGGGTCAAAACAATAAAAAAAGACGATGGAAGTCAACAGTCACACGTTTTTGTTCATCCTCTCAGTCGTGGGCAGCAAAAATGACGACCCAGTAGATATCAGCCGATGTGGCGTGAAAGTATATAGAACTGGAAATTTCGTGGTTCACCTGGGCTGACACACTGCCAAGATGCCCCAACCTAGACAGGATGACCATAATGGTCCTCATTCACAGCTACGAGACGTGTTGTCAGATCTTCTTCCACTGTCCAACCTGGTAGGGGAAATTTTGTGAATGTTGAACGAGAATTCTCCAGTAAACATCAACGGGTTGCTGAGGTAGGCAAACCGTCACAGCACAATAAGGTCCACTCTGGCGACGGGGTCCCCACTACTACGGCTGACCGAGCTCGAGATAGGGCAGTGGTTAAGGTGCCAGCTTACGGACCGGAATATCCACGGTTCGATCACAACCTCAGCATCTCGACTACTCCTGTCTAAGATTGGGCTACCTGGCAGTATGCCAGCCGTTGTGCCTCTTACCGTTGGCACGTTAGCTAGGCACCGAAAGGGCGCTACAGCTGAATGATTATTGTTATTATCAAGGCTGATTATTGGTCATGTCAGCATTCCACCTCAACCGCAGCATACTCGCGTTATAGGGGGGGGATTATTTCAGTCGTTCACTTTTTCGGACGATGTGTTTGGTAGAACACCCTCAATTTACGGCCCCATAAACCAAAGGACGACCGGATGGACAGAATGACAGAAAGAGATCATACTGTTCCATACTTCAAGTGAAGTAACAGGAGCGTGTGTCAGTCATCTTGATCATTCATTCTGTTCGACATTCAAGTGAAAAAAACCTCACTTGAAACTGTCACCTCCTATCTATATACATAATTGAACAAAACAGGGGAATTTTCAGAAACTTAACGGTTAAGGGTTGGGCACGTGCGAGTATTGATCTGCCAGTGATCAAAAGATCAGTGTGAACACTGACCTTTGAACACTGAACACTAGTCACCTAAACATCATAGACTGTATTACCGCCTAGCAAAAGTACGTTTGGATACAGACTGCTTTCGTTCGAACAGTTAGCCTCTTATCCTATCGCAATTCTGGTGAGTCACCACAGAAGAGAGAAGGGACGGAATTTCTCATGTGAAATAAGGCTTCCAATATCCTGATCTTACTTCAAGACTCACCACCCGTTCGGTTATGGATTCGATAAATGCTCTGACCCCCTTATGATCAGTTAGAAAACTTTGGGATTTTTGTTGATCAGTTTTCTACTGTTGTGAGCATAGGAGTTGTCCTGAGAGTCGAAACAATATTGAAAAGGGGAACAACACCTTCGACATGGAACGGCAGTTGAGGTGGGGAAGGGATATCTGGACCTACAGGATAACAAAGTATGCGCCACGTCCGCTAACAACCGACTACCAAAGGAAATCTCCGTTCATATTTCACACCGGAATATTGACATCTCAGATTAATTGAAGGTCGGCCTCACAAGTGTTACTGCCATGGCAGCGCTTCCGTTAAACCGTTGCAATCTACACAGCTAGAATAATAACCACATGGTAGCGTGACGCATAACTCTTGATTACATAAGCTCTTATACTGAAAAGGGCAGAATAAATCGGCTCAAATTTATTTTCATCTTTATCCATCTGTCATTTAGTGTATTTCGGATCCGGAAGGAACCGGTTCAGTTAGCATCCACGTGCCCAAAAATCCATGGGCTCGAGCTGCGATAGACCTGTTCCCATTGCTGCAACACTAACCAAGGTGACACAATTCATAGCTTTTAACTTCTGAAAACACAGAAAAAATTGTCAAACCGGAGTATGTGCGATATTCGATAACGAGTACTACGGCGACGTGAAACACGCAAACACAGAATACACTAGGCGCATTGCAAGTCCACAACTGCCAATTTACTCACCTATTGTCATGCGCAAAAAGTCTCGACAAAAGGCAGATAGACCACAGAGCACACTGAACTCCTCACCCACAATCCTATCATGTGCGTAGATGACAAGTTGCGCAAGAGCCCTGTACAAATCCTACAAACATAATTCACTTTTTATTTCGTTCTTGCCTCTTTGAAAGCTTCTCGGATGTTCTCCGTTCCTTTAAGGAAAAAACTTGAAATTTTCCACGTGTGTACCTCGCCTGTTTTGGAGTAGATGAATTATAAGGGAGGAGTACCTGGAAAGTTTGCGCTTCCTACGTCAAATCGAGCCGTGTGACGAAGTTGGGCCAATTGGTGTCTGTTGAGTGCTTTCAGATTTCCATCTGTGCCTTTCGATAGCATTTCACACTCGTCGAATTCAGGTGCACTGAAAACATTGTCAACTGGTTGGTTCTAGTGCCACCAATGCGGTCAGTTCAAGAATGGGAAAACAAACAACTCACAGATACATTGATGATGCTCTCTGGTAACGTAACTGAAAAATCTTTCCAAAGAAATAAATGCTGAATGGCAGTCTATTAGGAAGTGCAATTATGAGCAACATCAAATCTCACTGTTTTCAAAATGTTTACTGCACTGGATAACTCTCCATCAGGAAGTTCCAGATCTGCTACATCCGAAATGAGAGGAGAACGCTGTAGGAATATGACATCAAAGAGGCCCATAAGTAAAATCTACCTGAGGTTCCGAAACTTCGCAACTATTCCGCACATCCATTTGATCAAGACTGGAGGACCTTTACCGCTTAATCAGTAACCAACTATTCACGCCGTCTGTACAATGTGCATTCCAGTGGATGCCCAGGATTGAGGACATATCAAATGAGACCGGGTGTACGACGAATATCTGTTATTTTAAAAAAGAAATTGGATTAGTTCAGATCTCAGGTAGCATAAGTTCAGGCGAACTTGTTCGGTGTAGTGCAGGATTGAACAGAAGACTGAAAAGCAAGCACAGAAGAAAATCAGAAGTAACAAAGAGCATCACGAGGTGCCCAGAAAGCGATGAGGTCCATGTTTGGGTAGCTTTCAGGTTTGAGCACCCTTTTTCTCTCTCCATTTCCAAATCTTCCTTGCGGCTTTTAACCACTTCTAGCCAACAGTAGCCACCACATCTAAGCAACCGCTTCGGTTGGCCATTTGACCCAGGTAGGCGGCAAGAACAATCAGGCAAGAAGTGATACCTTTAATAATTTCAGGGGCAACCACACCAACATGCATGCTCGAGATGGACGTGATCGACAAGATGAGGTGACTTGCGACAAAACCATACAAATAAATATTACCAGCGGAAGATCCATCCCAACTCCCGTATTCAAAACACACACCTTCCATGAAAACCATCGTCTTCGTATCCCTCAAGTGCTGTTACACCAGTTCCCAAAGACTCCACATGAAGTATGCTGGACTTCTCAATCGCCACCGACGAACTCCCTGGGATCTATGATCGTAACGGAAACTCAGCTCGAACTGGACATCAACGATTCCGACCTATCCCTGTCGGGTCTGATTAATCAGGCTAGACTGGCGGTAAGGAATCGGCGGTGTTACCTTCCCATGCGACCTTACTAGCTTCCCAACTCTTCCTATTAAAAACGTTGTTCTTTGATTTTTCATTATACAGTAACCGTTAGTTACCATCCTCCTGAAAGTTCCGTGCCTCAGACAATAACTTCCCGTAGATCTACGCGATTTGGCATATCGCGGTCACTCACAGATTCCCACTATGAACCATTGTTTGCCGAAAGCGTTCAGCTGTAGCACCCTTTCGGTACCTGATTGCCATGCCACCACAAGAAAGCACGAGAGCTGGGATACTGCCAGGTTGCCCAAGCTAAGACAGAGTAAGTCGAGAGGCACAGGTCGAGTTCGAACCACGGACCTTCCGGTCAGTAAATTCGCGCTCTTACCACTGAGCCATCGTTTGCCGAAAAGAGTGCTGTTTTCTATGCCCAACGAGAGAGGCGGCCAACCCTTGGATCGGCAAAAGGGCATGAAGGAGATTAAGAAACGTTTGAGTACTGTCGGAGCTACTCGACTTCCGGGACGGGGACCGCGTGATCCCCACTGCGCCTAGTTGGGGACGCTGTAAGATATGGCTACCAACCGATGTCAGTGGCGTTCTTGCTGTCAGTTTCTATCCAGACTGCCTGAATGAGCGTCTGGAGGTGTGGGCACTTCGGAATGACTGTAATAAGCTAGCACTAAGTCCCTTCCCAGTCCACCTTTATTCTTTTCCTCACAATAAGTTATCCAAATAAACCATGGTTGTACGGCAGCGAAGCATCGGTGTTGAACACTGATGTCATGCTGTCGATGATGATGATTCCCATTATGAGGCTTCAAAATCCCATCTTTTTATGGACTGATCCTCCGAAGAACGTCTTACAACCACGTTAGACAGTCGAGCCAAAATCGAGACTATAACAATCGTTCGTTCGCTGATCCGATTCCTACCAGTGGGGAGTTGATGGCAATCAACTATTAACCACCCTAAAGCCATGGCGACCACCAGTGCTCGTATTTAACCGCGCGACAAACGCAGAACAACCCTCCTATTCTCACTGACCAAACCACAACCTGTCAACATACCCCGCAACGTCTGCTACTAGTCAATAACTGGGCAGACCCTCACAGAAGAATTTTCACTAAAAGCGGTATGGAAAACTTCCACCGAACCATGATACCCACCAAACATGGTCCCCAAGCCACAGAATCTACTGTCCCTACCAGCCCATAAAGCTGAATTAGAAGCAGGACCAGGAAACGCTTTGCTAAACAGAACGAGCTTAGCGTCGCTACGAGAAAACTCCTAGTGAAGACCTACGGTGAAATTATACGACTCTCATAAACCAGTATGCCTGTCTAACTCGATAAGACAAAAATGGCAGGCTTGGCTGGCGAATAAATTTACGACACACTGTAATCTCCTACGCAGACACCTCAACAGCCTTGTAAAGGTAATACATGGTATCCTTGCATTAAGAACCGAAAATGGTCTTACACGAACGTTTAAGGAAAGCCAATGACTTGATTAGGCTATGCAGTTTCACCTCCAGGAACCAATCGTTTGCTGTTACATACGGACACAAACATACTCGATCATACAGTCTCACCAGACACGGTTGAACGTAAACTCGAACCTCCCCCCCCCCACATACACACCCACCCATGAAAACGCCGCTTATTGCATCGATATCAAACCCAGGAACGGCTCCTTGTTGGTGAACGACCTGGTGTGGCCACTGACCTGTTACTACCAAAGGGTACTCAGTACGTCTTGCGTTTCTGTATTGCATCGATATCAAACCCAGGAACGGCTCCTTGTTGGTGAACGACCTGGTGTGGCCACTGACCTGTTACTACCAAAGGGTACTCAGTACGTCTTGCGTTTCTGAACGACGGAAAACTGGGGTAATTAGTCCCGCGAACAGAGCGACAGAAGGTTCAAACCCGCAAACTACAGGCCTCCTACTCTACTTCCCGTCCAACCAACCGCAGGCGAGCAACTGCGAAAAATATCTCGAAAATCGCGATCTGATGGTGCTGGTGTAGCAGATATTACGGAAGCGGAAGCCCTGGCTAACGAGCTTCCTTTTAACAAGAGATGTGTGGAATGGATTGTAATAAGGAGTCAAAGATTGAAATTAGCTACCTCAGCTTCCCATCTATGACAATTGGCTGTTCAGGAAATCCAATTCCGTTCTTCCTGTAATTTCCCTAATGTTTGCTATAACATGAAACTGTTGCCCTTCAAGTCATGGAACGATGTCGACACTGCACCCAGCCAGACTAGGAGAACAGAAGCATCGGCATTGGGGCCTTCAATAACTATCTACCATACTACAGATAACCCCCATGCAAACTGTTCACCAATGAATTGAAGCTCCAGAGAACCACCCGTACGCCTCATGAACACGGACTCCTAAAAGCAGACCTACACACAGCCTTCAAAGGTCAATTACAAACTATCAACTGCGTACTCTCACTTGTCCCATCCCCCGACCGCTCCTTCTGGGCCGACAAGCACTCCAGTATAAGCTGCGATACTTGAGAAAAATCGCGCAAAAAACTGTTGTATATTTGCTCAACTGCGTACCTTGTCCCATCCCCCGACCGCTCCTTCTGGGCCGACAAGCACTCCAGTATAAGCTGCGATACTTGAGAAAAATCGCGCAACGCAAAATTGTATATTTGCTCTGTTTTTCAAACGCTTCATCGTTTATTGCTAAATCACTTTCTTCCGTTTTCAGCTCTCAGTGTCAAAGTTTTGGATGAATAAAGCCTAGCTTTCGGGCCCTACGTCTTTTCCATTGCCATTCTGATTGTCGTTGCACTCTGACCCTCGTCTTACACAACAATTTATTCATCCAAAAAAAAGTTTTCTTCGAACAATGGGTCGATCCTTACGTCCTGAACGATTCGATACCGACCCCAATACTCAAGACTCGGCAGATACCTGGGAGCATTGGTTTTGTACTTTCACAAACTTCCTAGAGTCAATCGGTTCTCATTCACCAGATAAACTGAAAACCTTGTTCAATTACGTCTCCCCTAGTGTTTACCGATTCATCAAAGACTGCAAAGACTATGAATCAGCCATCGAAACCTTGCGAGAAATTTACGTACAGCCGAAAAATGAAGTTTTTGCACGGCATCTTTTGAACACTTGTAAACAGGACGGAGCTCAGAACCTTGATCAGTTTGTGCAGAAGCTTCGCAGTTTATTGCCAGACTGCCGCTTTACAGCCGTCAGTGCAGAACAGCATACCGATGAAGCGTTGCGAGATGCGTTTATTAGCGGACTTTATTCCAATACTATACGCCAGAGACTGCTGGAACATAAGTCGCTGGATTTTAAAACCGCGTACGACCATGCAAAGTCCCTCGAACTAGCGCAAAAACAGTCGTTGTCGTTTTTGCCGAACACTCAACTTCCCTGTGCCACCGTATCGAACGACCCGCCAAAGTCCCCACGTTCTCAAACGTCATCGCACGAGCAGGCGACTGCTGCCAGTGTTGGGTCTTCATGTTTCTTCTGTGGCTATGCTCGTCACCCGAGATATAAATGCCCCGCTAAAGATGCGACCTGCAAAAACTGTGGGAAGAAAGGGCATTTTCAAAAGGTATGCAGATCTACTGGTCCGCGGAACACCTCATCTGTTTCAAGTGCGCTATCTTGCGTCACTGCAGCGGCTCCTGAGTGTCTAAAAGAAGCAGTCACCGATGTGAAAGCCAATGGTGTCCCGCTTCGAGCTCTTGTTGATACTGGTAGCTCAGAAAGTTTCATTTCCGAAAAGGTAGTCCGTCGTAACAAGTGGTCTGTACTACCATCGTCATCTGAGATAACTTTGGCATCTATCCAGCACAAAAGCTTTACTCTTGGACATTGCTTTTTAACGTTGCAACACAAACAAAACAAGTATCCCTCTTTCAAGTTTTCAGTATTACGTGACCTCTGTGCAGATATTTTGCTAGGACATGACTTTCTTAAGCTTCATAAGTCCCTGGAAATCTCATTCAACGGTGACAAACCTTCTTTTTCCCTTTGTGGCCTAATTGCTGCCAAAATTGAACCTCCCACTTTGTTCGAGCATATTGACCCAAGGTGTAAGCCAATCGCCATAAAGTCCAGGCGACATTCTGCAGACGACGAGGCCTTCATTGCTTCTGAAGTAAAGCGTTTACTTGACCAACACATCATTGAACCCTCGAAGTCCCCATGGAGAGCGCAAGTGCTCGTCACGACAAATGAACGACAGAAGAAGCGAATGGTGGTTGACTATAGTCAAACTATAAACCGATTTACGCAACTAGACGCTTATCCGCTCCCCAGACTTGAAGATTTGAGTACTAAAATAGCTCAATATCGTATTTTCAGCACGCTTGATCTTGAAAGTGCGTATTATCAGATACCCATTAAAGAAAGCGACAGAATCTACACGGCTTTTGAGGCTTGCAACAACCTCTATCAGTTCCGTCGAATACCTTTCGGAGTAACGAATGGGGTAGCCTGTTTTCAAAGGGTAATGGATGACATAATACGCGCCGAACAACTTACCGGGACATATGCGTATGTGGATAATGTTACCATTTGTGGAAAGAATCAAGAAGAACATGATCGAAACCTCCAGCTTTTCCTCACCGTAGCACAAAAGTACGGCCTTCAGTTAAATCACGATAAAAGCACGATTTCCACCACTAAGCTCAGACTCCTCGGCTATGAAATTACTGAAGGTGTCATCAAACCAGACCCTGAACGCTTCAAGGTATTGCAAGAACTGCCCGTTCCGAACGACATCAAGTCTCAACAACGAGTGGTAGGATTGTTCGCGTACTATTCTCGTTGGATAAGCCGTTTCTCGGATAAGATCTACCCAATCACTCACAATACAACCTTTCCTGTCCCTGAATCTGTTATAAAAGCATTTGAAAGTTTGAAAAAGGAGTTGATGGATGCAGCCTTGGTCACTATCGACCCGAGAATACCTTTGGTGCTCGAAACTGATGCATCTGATGTCGCGATTTCTGCTACACTCAATCAAGATGGCAGACCGGTCGCATTCTTCTCA